CTGACTAAATTTTACTTAATTTAATTTTTTTAATTTAAACAATATTTTATTCACAGATGTTGTCGTGAATAGGATTGGGCAGCAGGCGCAGCCTATTTTAGCCCTCTCCCTACATTTAGGTCAAGGTACAAAACAAATAGTGATATTAAAAGAATGTACAAAAGAAGAAAAAAAAAAACACAAACAAAATTAAACAAAGAAACAGAGAAAAAAACAGAAAAAGTCATATGTAGAAAATTAAACAAAAGAGAAAAATAGAATGAACAAAATAACAAAAAGGGAACATTACAGGGGGAGACAAAATACAAAGTAGTACCGGTTTGGGAGTACTTCTAACATAAAAATTATATCTATATATAGATATGACAGTGTTTATATATGTATACTAAATTTTACTTAAATTCTCTGAGGCAGTTGGGCATTTAATTTATGTATTAATTTAACTGAATAGCATTTAAACAGAAAGCAGTTTGGATTCATTTTACAAGATAGAAAATAATACTTGTAATATTTTTATGTAATAAATTATCAGGAAGTAAAGATTGCCCTTAGTTTTAGGTGTTTTTTACAAGATAGAAAATAATACATATACTTGTAATATATTTATTTGATCAATTATTAGGAAGTAAAGATTGCCATTAGTTTTTGGTGTTTTGATATGAGAGTAAAGCAGACAAAATTGTGGAAAAATACCATTCCTTATAGTAATTCCTAAGACATGTATGATAAATATATGATCTTCTGTTTTTGGAAGAACGCATGGGGTCATATTCTTATAGCATGAGCATTTTCACTTGTTTTTCTCCTCATCTTAAAATTGCTATTTACATGTTAACTTTTTTTTTAAATTTTTAACTTTGAAAATATCTTAAACCTGACTTAATTCTAAGAAATAAGAATCAAATATTACAATCTGCATGTCAGTTTTATAACTGTACAATGAAACTTGCAGGATTTAGCAATGTCCATAGGACTGTTAATTCCGCTGCATTTCATTTCCGGAAATATGCATAGCATTTCCGACATTTTTTTATTTCATTTCCGACATTTTTTGTTTTCATTTCCGACATAATTTTGTTTTCATTTCCGGAATTTACCTGTGTTTTTTTTCAAGTCAGCGAAAATGAAATTTTAAAAGTATTTATTGCAAAATATTGATTAAAAAAATATTGTAAAAAATCTATTTATTATAATTATACATATATGCATACATATAGCAATAAGTCCAGGTTAAAGAATTCAATGAACATACAACATTTTTACCTCATTTAATATGCACTAAAATAAATGTCAGTGACAGCACCAAACTTATGTCCAAGACATTTGATGTACTCTAATCCAGTTTTTACTGCGGTTGATAACGCATTCATTACACTGCTCTATACAGAACTTTAATTTTTTCTGCTTTACATCTGCGCAGAGTAATTCAGTAAACACTGATTCAATCTCTCAAATTTAAATTCAGGTAGTTGCCTACATTTTGCCACAGTCGTTTCATTGATAAATTTACAAAAACTCAGAAATTGGAATTCAATGATTTATTTTTTACATGTATTCCTTTAAATTTTTCGTAGGTAAAGTCTCCAAATTTGTTACCAAAGGTACTATCTGAAAAATGTTGTAAATGAAAACAAAAAAATGTCGGAAATGAAAACAAAAAAATGTCGGAAATGAAAAGTTGATAATTACTAAAAATTCCGGAAATGAAATGCAGCCGTTAATTCATGATTCATGTAATTTGTTGTCTTTAAGGTTCATAAACCCTCTGCTTAGTCATTGCTTGATCCTTAATGATTTTCCAAAAGAAATGTGTTTTATAAGTAAAATGCAAACAATTATAAGTAAACATAGCTTGCAGGGCAAAACTGGACAAAAAGACACTTCAACTTGACAAATTTATAAAGGAATAATAGACATTTGTGTCAATAAGAGTTATCTCTCTTATCATAGTATCAATGAACCTTAAATAAAGAATTTTAATAATACCATTATAAAGAATTTTTAAAAAAGTATTGTATACAAGTTTACCTGTAAGAAATTCTACCAAATAACTTATATTGGAGAACTGAAATTTTCTGTTGAATTAATAATTTGAAACATATCAAATAATTATGAAAAACAATGCCAGCTAGTTCAACATTTCAAATTTTGAGATCTTACAAAATTGACCATAGGACATGTAAATTTTATTATTTTAAACCTTTACTGGAAAACATAATCAAAGCAATGTTTTAAATTGAACTTGTTTTAACAAAAATGATTTGTACCTTCAAATTAAAAAATTTGCAGGTGATCCTGAGAATTTTATTGTATCTGTAAATTTACCATATCTTTCTAACTTACCAAGTTTTTATATAAGTATATATTGATCAAAAGGTAATTCTGTATATATATTTAATGTTTGAATTATTTTTTCTCAAAAAGAAAAAAAAATCAGATTTTACACATTTTTTGCCCATGTGAGCTAAAAGCTCAAGTGAGTTTTTGATCACATTTTGTCTATCTGTCCATCTGAAAATTTTCACATTTTTAGGTCACCTGAGCAAAATAAAATCACCAAAATTTGTTAATATCCAAGGAAAGTCTTGTCAAGAAATACACAAGTGTAAAATGAAAGCCCAAGCACTAACAGTTCAAAAGATTTGGCCAAGGTTAAAGTTTTTTTTTAATTGGTCAAAATCCAAGGTCAAAGGGTCAAAATTGATGGTACCCAGGAGAAAGTCTTGTCACAAGAAATGCTCATGAGGGCCATAGGTGAGCAATGTGGCTCATGGACCCCTGGTTTAAAGCTTGGTAGGGCATTTAGCTTTTAAATTAAAGCAAGTTTGTAGATTGTAACCAAACTACCAAAAAGAAAATTCTTGAAATCATTAAATATGTCACATAATGCCTTCTTATAAATAATGCTAATTTGTATTACATGGGGGAAATCTAGTAAAGGACAAAATTGTCAAAGCTTCTCAGGTGAGCGATGTGGCCCATGGGCCTCTTGTTTAAATTTTTTACTGTGGTTTTAATGACAGGGTCCCAATATAATAGGTGTGCAAAAAAAAAAAAAGCACTTAGTAAATTTGTAAATCAGATTAATTTTTTATCAATCACAACCTGGCCTTGCAAGTTTGTCAAGGAATAAAGGAAGATCAATACTAACATTATTGTTTAGTTTTTATTCTATTGTCTTATGTTAATATGACCATTGACACAGCATAATCCAATATTACAATTTTTTTAATAGCTGGGTCGAGTGATACAGGAATATTTGAGAGAACGGCCAGAAGGTTGTCCCTAAATCGGAGAAAGGCCTCCAAAACTAGTCAGCATCAAACCCCACCCGAGAGCCCCGAAGCCCGTACCAAAAAGTCCTGACCCCACAAGGCACCGCTAGTTCTGCATACATCTGAGAAAGATCACAAACAGACGTCCAGGAACATCTAAAAGATAAAACTGTGATATTCCTGATTTTACTCGTGACCCACATGTGCCAAAGATTTACACTCAGTGCTAGAAATGGCTTGTTTATTTATTTAATTTTTTTAAAAAACTTTTCCTATTATGGATTACTTATTTGATTTTTCATTAAAATAGAATGTATTATTCTTCTGTCATTTTCATGGAGTATTAGAAAACTTGAATGTCCCATTTCTATTCAGGCAATAATCATGAACATAATTTTACTAATTTCATATTTTATTTAGTACATGTATATCATATCATTATTGATAAACTTTGATGTGTGGAACAAACCTATACATAATTTTATTGTTGTCATGGCAGCAAGCATTCATATTGTTACTTGTGTTTGTGTAAGTTATTGACTAGGAACAAATAATCAAACTTAATGTGCAATAATTATTTCTGTAATTTACTTATATGAATAAAAGTGTCACAGAGATGTTCATTTTGAATGTTTTGCCAGCACAATTGTTAAATGATACAGATTTGAGCTTCTGAGCCAATAGGTGAAAGACCTAATGCTATGGTCTTTTGTGCCTTGAGCATCAGCTTTCTGATATAAAGACCATATTTCAACAAGAGGCCCATGGGCCACATCACTCATCTGAGTAAATTTGGTCATGCTGTTCTTTATCAGAATCAACCCCTCTGTAATACCTATTGTGGCAGACACCCAACCCCGGGGACCTTGATTTGGATAATTTAGAATCTACACTAACCTGGGATGCTTCCACATAAGTTTCAGCTTTTCTGGCCCAGTTCTTCATCAGATTTTTCCTATATATTTCAATGTAAACTTGATTCCCTATTGTGGCCCCTCCCTATCCCAGGGGGTCATGGTTTGAACAATTTAGAATCTACACTACCCCAGGATGCTCCCACATAAGTTTCAGCTTTTCTGGCCCAGTGGTTCTTGAGAATAAGAATTTTTAATAACTCCACCATATTTTCATCTTTTCTTGATTATCTCCCCTGATGAGGGAACTTAGCCCTTCTTTTTAACAATTTAAACTCCTCTTCACCCAAGGATGCTTTGTACCAAGTTTGGTTAAAATTGGCCCAGTGGTTCTTGCGAAGTCAAAAATGTGAAAAGTTTATAGACAGACGGACGGATGATGAACAAAATGTGATCAGAAAAGCTCACTCGAGTCTTCGGCTCAGGTGAGCTAAAAACCAATTTATTTGTCAAAATCACCTCACCTAAGGATGTCCTTAGGCCAAGGGCTGAAAAAGGAATGTCACCAGATAATCAGGGAGAAAAAGACAAAAAGTAATGGTTGCTAAAAAAAAAAATCTCATAGCCACAGGGCAGATTATCAGAAGCTTGTAAATTAGGATGGCTGGTCTGCTTTTCCTCCATTTTAATTTTTGCTTTTCCACATTTTTCCAAGAGAAAAAACTATATTCCTTTTTGGTACACATCTGTATTTCTAAAATGTTTATTTATATAAGTTGAAAACTCAAGTTTAAGGAGGCTTGAGGGTCAACAAATTAACCATCGGATATAAGTTCATTTTCTGCTGCTATTTATAAATGTAACAACTCAGTTCATGTGGATTCTTTATTTGATTCATGAAAATTTATGGTAAGCATACTATACAACCATGTCTTGTTTCTGACATGTCATAAGAAAAATATCCATGACCAATAATTCTACACTCAAAATTTTATTTTCACTTTCCAAAATGCAAAACTTTAATTTTCAATTAGAAAATGTGAAAAATGGCTTCTTTTTAATACTTAATTGATTATTCTCTGCAATTATTGTGTTTTTGAAGAAAAAAAGAAAAATAAACAGTACAACAATGAGCTCTCTGCTCTATGAAAAAATAAATAAAAATATATTACAAATAAATGCATTAATGTATAGAGAATCACATATGTGAGGGGGAAAATTGTTTATTTAAAAAAAGTCCATCCTGAACATACTTTAAAATACAGTATGATGTCATATACATTCACAGATTTATTCTCGGATAAGTAATGGTACTTTCTTATTACAAGCAGAGACAAAAAAATCGTAATGTATTTCATTGGTTCAGTCTATTAAAATTTAATAACTCAGTAGTATGTTGTCCACTTATATTATTTTCCCTCTATGATTTTAATTGAATTGTTAATTATGTTTATTGGAATAGCTGGCATGTACACATTTGTATAACTATAAAATGTTTCACTGTATGAGCATAATAAATACCAAATACAAAACTATGAAATAAATGAAAACATTTTCAAAATGGGATTTGGTTGGCAATGACCTGTTGTAATCTACAAAGCACAAAAATCGTCCCAATTCAAAAGTTATGCCATTCTAAATTACAGTGCTTTGACTAGCGTACATATAATTCACGGTAAAACATGCTTAAAGCAAAGTGACTCGGATGAACAATTTTCATTTGTTATATGTGTAAAATGTTTAAACCTGTTTAAATTTCAGTTCTTTTTTTAAACCATGGGGGAATGAAAATCACTTTCCTACAAGCCCGTATTCAGTTTTATTTTATTAAATTCTGTCTCTTTAATAGAAGAGAAATAGAGTTGAAAAAAAAAGATAAAATTCTTAAAAATCATATAAGGACAATATTCACAGTATCACACATTTCTGACTAAAACATACTGTCCACAAATATAAAAGGCTAACATACTATTATGCACCTGTTTTTAACAAAAATTTTCTTAAAAAATTATATTTACAAATTTTTCATATTTGCAATTGAACACTTTTGGAATCATCCGTACAATTAGACTGGGACATTTATTTATCACGAAATACAATACAGCTTCTGAGTCCTAGAAAGAAAATCCTGCAGGATTACATATTGTGATTCCGTGAGATGACCGGCTATAGACTGGATTTAGCTGGAGTCTTCATCTGTTGTAAGAAGTGGTTCCCCCGTGATCAGTAAACCTTTCTCGTACATCATAGTGGCTACATCAATCTGAAAAATAAATAAAATTCAGGTGAAATTGTGTAGATTTCTATGTTCCTTAGTCAGAAACAGGATTGATCTTCCTTCCTCTAGCTTTTCATTATTACAATCTCGGCAATATTTAAGAGCAAGAAACAGCAGATCATGTAGATGACTTACTCTTTGATCCAGAGTTGGCAATGGCAAGCTCTCCACTGGGACATACTTGGGGTAAGAATGAATCAAATATTCTACTGCTGGTGCTGCCTAAAACATAACATCATTTAGACAAATAATGGTGCAAAACCACACAGCTGACATTGTTATTTTTAAAAAAATTTTAAACAAATTTTAAAGCTCTCTATTTTACACGATGCAAATTAAGAGTAGTGTTCAAGCTGATGATGCTGTAAAGCACAAAAAATTTCAATGTAAAGAGAAGTATTACTGATAGACAACATTCGTATTTACTTCTGCAGAGATCTGTATAAAACTGGGCTCCACTTCATGGTACAGTCTAGTGTTTTCCAGGGAGTGGTAGATGCGCACCTCATCTTCTTCTGTTAAAAGTCTGCATCAAAAATAAGACATTTAAAACAGTGGAGTTCTTTAAATGTTCTGAGAAATCAAGTCTCTGAAATACAGTGGTACTGCTTAAAAAATTGGCCAGAACTGGAATACAGTGTTAATAGTTTAATTTGATTTTTGTTGTTTTTACGCTGAGGCCATTCCAAGTTTTTTCTATGTTTAGCGTCCACCCATCTTTCAAAAACTTACCTGCCCATTCTCAAAAAACACACAGACCAAAAAAGAAAATGCATACTTTATAGTCATAAAAGTAACATCATTCAAAGGATTTGATTCAAGAAATTATTTTTTCTCCTTTCTAGATCTACACTTTGGCAAAATCAAGATAGTAAATGCTCAAAATATACCAAATATGGAAAATTAAAGACAGATCATAACAGGAAGGGATGGAATTCAAAGATTTGGACCAGAATTATTAATATTGGGTCTCTTGATTTTGGTTTGTTTTTTTCTGATATTGGGTGTCAAAAATCAAGGCGCATCCAGACACTAGACATATAAAAACCTTGGAATGGCTTGAGTCTGCAATATTTCAGCCATGTTTTGGTGCAAGTGTTACAGTATTTTTTACTACCATAAGTGTTAGTGGTCAATATGGGTGAGAACGGACCTTAAGATGCCTTTGCGGATGATTTTGATGGTAGTGTCGGGTTCAATCTCTGCAGTTCCCGCCACACACATCTTCTCCTTGTCCCAGTGCTCACCACTACCATGGACACTAAAGGCTTTTTCAGCTACAGGTACATAAAATAATGTTTAAGGTACATGTACCACCTCATTAACATAAATTATCAACAAACTCCATAATACTGTATACAGGGTTATTTTGCCTTCTCACAATTGCTAGCAATTTAGCCTCATTTTCAATTGGCACAGTCACATTTCTGTTTAAGACATTAAATTGTGTTTTCTTTGAATTCGACATGTTTTAAATGCACCTACTTGTGAGTAGAGCAAAGAGGCTAAAATAAAACGGGAACAAAAATTTCCCTATATACAGTTCAGATGAGAGAGGTACATGTATTATTAGTGATACAGATACATGAAAGAATAAGATCTATAAATACCATCAGAGAGAACAGGAGGCAGGCTGTCGTGTATAAATGACTTGGCCATTTGATCACAGGCTGAGTCCACAGGTAAATGCTGCACCATACGGATCATCAGCTGCTCCACCTTCTTAAGGAACAGGTTTCTGGGGGAACTCTCCTGCGCAAAGATATTGTATCTTGACTTAAAGGCAAATAATACTGCACTACAATTCAAATAAGCAAGTCTCAACCAACAATTTTCTTAGTGAATTACTGATTTCTACATATTATTGTTATTCAAATAATCAATCTGATTAAAGTCAGATCCACTGAACCTCTCACATATACTATATAAGTGGAAATTTTAGCAAGACGCAAATTAGGTGATTTCTACCAAAAATCTGGTATAAGCGAGAAGTAAATTTAGTGATTTCAAGATGCTAACTAAAGAAGTTATTGCAAATAATACGCAATTAACTTTTAGCAATATTCAATTTTAGCGATGTCAGCACCCTCGCTAATAATGCCAAAATTAAATCCTCGCTAAAAATTCTACTTATACGGTATGTAGATCATTAAACAAGGATCTAAAGAAACTTCATTTAGGGTCATCTCCTGGTCACAAAACATTCCAGCGGAAAGTGTTTGATCATTATTCTGCTGGTTATATGTGTGTCATCTAAAATTGTACAAATAGGACACAAAACATACTTACAATGATAGGGTATTAAGTGTAAGAGGAGGGGAAATATGAAGCAGACCAGACCGGGATTCAAACTCAGACTGGGATTCGGACACAAGGCCCCCGAATCTCCAGATGCTCTACCAACTGAGCTATCTGGCCACCGGCAATCGAACCTGATCTGTCTGCCACATAAAAATAACTGTTATGCTCCTATGCAATTTAGTCACTTTACACTGGCATATAAAATCTAAAATCACATAGCTAAAGGAGAGTCTTAGTGTTGTACAATACAAACCATGTCAGAGTGGGCTATTCCCATGTAAGATGAATACTCTCTGGGAAGCCCTCTTCTGAACTCCACATCTTCATCAATAGCAATCTGAAGGGCTCTGGGAACCAACTGAAATGCATGTAGAGAGTAGTGTAGTCATCTTCTGTATTTATAAAACATGGTACTAGTGTTTCTTTTCATTTAATTTCACAACAAACAGATAGAAGACAGAAAGAAAGACCAAATTCACTTATGGTGGCATAAAAAGATTATTTTCAAAGTCACAAATTGTGTGGTGCAACAGTTTAATATCAATTTAAATTATAAATCTATAATGTGACCTTTAAATTTTGAATTTGTTTGACCTCTGTTGAATACAACTCACCTTTTCAAATAGATCCCCCCAGGTATTCTTCTGATAACAGGAGACAGTTATGTGTAGGGAATGTGTGTCCTCCATACAGTTACCCTACATACAACACAGCAATTCAAGTCATCCAAAAATTATTCCCATAATTATCTACAAATTTTCCAATTATTAAAATTCTTACTCATCTGATAACATTATTGTTACCTGATGGATTGTCCCTCTGGGAAAATACAACAGATCCCCTGGATCCAGTACCGTGTCCAAAATCGGCTTCCCTAGATCTTTTTCTGAAAAATTTCCTGTGAATACACACAAAATTTTATCAAAACCAAAGATTCTAAACGATTACATATACAATGAAACTTATCTAATCTGGTGTATTCTGAAATGTTATATAATACAATGAAAACTTTAAATTCAAATGTTAAAAAATTGTTGTATCTGGCAAAGTTCCATGGAAACAGTGGAGTCTGGATAAGCTAAGTTTTACTGTACCTTGTGTTACTCAATAATTAAGATGCTATATCAATTACTTAACATCCAAAAGAAATTTTCTGTATGTCAAACAAAACTCTTTTTCTCCCCAAAATGCTTACCACTTGAAAACCGTGGCAGAACTTCATTGTCTGTCCTAGAACATAATAATTTTAAAATTTGATACATGTAATGTATGTTTTACCATTGTCTAGAAAAAATGTTTAGGAGCAAATAATTACTTTTTTTGTTCCTATATTCTACAGATACTGTAAGTTTAAGAAATCTGTCTACAACTCAAGTAGAGCAAAATCTAGAAAACTCTACCTTGATAAACATATATTCAAGTACCTCATGAACATTGAAATCCTACCTTGGGCTGTATAACCTCCAGTGCTTCCTGCCCTCCAACTGTAGAATGAAAGCCTCAATGTCATCATAATGTGGAGCAAACCCTTGTGTGCCAGGTGGAGTTAAGTATCTGAGACAGAGAAATGTGGATAGTCAACAATAGACCCATAGGCTACATGGCTCACTGGAGCACACTGGCTAGGAAAAAGCAGATATCAGTCCTGCATAATTCAAATACTGTTGAACTTTACTTTTGATGTATCAAATACCATGGATATGGCAGACTGATTTGGAAGTCCCAACTACTTTGATCCACTTTTCTTGAGAAGAAATTTTTAAAGTGAATGTTAATGCACAATGCTCACTAGCACAAATTGCCATAATATAACTACAAGCTCTTTGAGCCTTTGGTTCAACAAAACTAAAATATCAGATATTTTGTCTTGTAAATTGTAGATTGAGAGAAAATTGCAATTAAATAAACACTGATCAACTAAATATTTTTCAAATTTTAAAGTTTTACTGCATGCTTTAGAGATACTTACATATTGGCTCCAACACAACAATTAAAGTACTCTTGAAGCACAGAAAGGAGTTTCCAAACATTCCTGGAGTAGGTTTGTGGATTTAAAAGTCTTACAGAACAGCCAGTCTGAAATTAGAGTTAAACAATTCAAACAAAGTTGCACAGTTCTGATAATTTTTGACAAAGACCACACAATAACAGAAGGTTCTATATACACAGTTCAAGGACACCGAAAGGGCAAGTAAAGTTTACACCAAATGTTAGGCATCAATATGGTTGTACAATAAACAGTTTACTAATGACTAGAATTTATTATCACATGCACTACCGACCTGATAGAAATCCCACACGGTAGCAGGATAGGCCCTGCCCACTGGGTTATGAGTTTCTCTTTGTCCATTAGTAAATGTTGTCACATCTAAATTGGTTGTAAACTGTATGTTTTCCTGGAAAAAAAAATGTATAGAAGTAAAAAAAAAACTTTGATTACTTTTTAAACTGCTTCTTGATAATCTTAACTTTTCTGAGTTTTACTGTATGTTACCTCTCGTAGAATCCTGTCCAACTCGGACGTACTGAACCAGCCATCATTGTACTGAGCCATGTGTCTCTGTACCAACAAAGGCTTCCTCTCCCACAACTCTCTGTAATGGCAACATGTCAGTATATACATACAAATCGTCAACAATCTTTATATCTATATAATATGTCTTTATGCAAATCAATTTTTTTTAATATATTGAAATATCTTATCCATTTCAGAGTGGGTTTTTTATAATACATATGAATCAAAACTATGAAGTATTTACAAGCAGAATTAATCTTTTGTAACATAAATACCGAAATAATTTTAAAAAACATTAAATGATATTAGGCAGGGCTCGACATGAACTTTTTTTCCTACTTGTCCATTCGGACAAGTGACCAAGACATTTACTTGTCCAAATTTCAACTTCACTTGTCCGAAAATTTTCACTAAAGTTCAATAGTTTCAACTTCAAAATTAAGTCCATTTACTTACACATGTCACGCGCTTGATTGATTCTTGATGTTATTGATAAATACAACAGACACATAAAACGAAATTTAATTAAGGCTTTCTGTCCTGACAATAACATAAATGTCCACAAGTGAACCTGTCAACATCAAACAATATTCACACTTCGGTCCGTATCTTCCATGACTTTTCATTTTAGTATGCAATTAGTGAACTTCGATCCCGATCGAATGTGAACTCAATATTAATATAGTGATACATATCGAAGTTTGGATTTTATGTACAGCTTCCGTCTTGAGACTACCAATTTAGCTTTCAACAGTCGTTCTTTTTATTATTTAGAGACCCCTTTACATTAAAATGCACTTGTCCAATCGGACAAGTGCCCAGCAATATTGACTTGTCCGAATTTATTTTTCATTGGTACCGGACAAGCAGACAAGTGTTAATGTCGAGCCCTGATTAGTTATCCAGGTTCAATCAAGGTGTACGGGGATTTAACCCGGGTTTTATTTCATACACCCTGAGGCCAAAGAGTGTATGGAATACAACCTGGGGTAAATAACCGTACACCCTTGACTGGACCTGGATAACGAATTTATTTCCTATGTACACAAAAAATTTCTTTGTAAAAATCAGTCTAGTCAACTGTGTTTCAATCTACCGAAAAGATAACTATGTACCACAATGCATCATGACATCATTTTATTTGATTTTTACCATAGAGAAAGTGTGCATTGTGATGTCACGTTTTATTTACCCCGGTTCAAGTTGGGTGTACGGAAATTTACACCCGACTTTGTAACCAATCAAAGCTCGTGTTAAATGTGACATAGGAAATAATGATTTTTACTAAGTAGGAATGCCATATAAACAAAACAGTACTCACTTGAAGAATTTGTCTGGCTTAACAGGGTGAATGAGGCATTCAAAGATTTTTCTGGCTTCCTCTCCACTGTTAAACATGTAGGGAAGCTGGGAACTAGACACTGAGTCATCCTCAAACGACAGGGCATGTTCCATCTCCTGGATCAATACACAGGTAACACAGCTTAGAAATGTTGTGTTCTAATTTACTTAGCTTGTATAACATGATGTAGAGTTACACACAGTGAAATCCCCTGATACGTACCTCAGTGCTACAGTCCTGGGTCTGAACTTCCGAGTTGTCCCTTCTCTTCTTTTTAGCTGGCTTACTGTCCTCGTCATTCTCTGGTCGTTTGTTCTTCCCTGACTGTCGCCTCTCGCCATCTGACACACGAGGACTGGGCGTCTTCTTGTTTTTTGTGGGCTTCAGGATTGACTTTGGTTTGTTGCCAGCTTCTGCTAGAGGTGTAGCAGTCTCAATGGAGGATCTGTCTGACTGCTTTCCCGGAGATTCTTTGTCAGAAGGAGGGGGGTTTTGTGTGTGTTTACCTGTAGGAGGGATGTTCTGGTTCCTCGTCGGGCGAACAGCAGAGATCTGTTTTGGTATAACTGGTGTGGACAATGGCTTCCCTCTGTCTACTGATCATATATTGTACATTAGAGAAACCCAAATAAACTACTGAAAATTAACTTACTGATGCAAGGGAAAAAAGTCTATTAAAATTGCCATGCACTGTACTTAAAAAAGGACATTATTTAATATATCAAAAGAGAAATAATTGGCTACACTGATCTACGTGTACATACACAGAAGACCAGGATTCCTCACCTTGTGCTGAATTTTGCTCCTCTAAGTCTGAGGTGGACCTGACACTCTTCAGAGACACCGGGTCTGCCTTCTCTGTGTCAGGTAGAATTGTGGGTCTGGCTTTGGGGGTACTTCTCAAGCTAGATCTCAGACTTCCACCTTTTAAGGCTTTCTGTTAAAAATACAAAGTTTTAGTAAAGAATGCTCCAATTTGACACAGGAATGATGAATTAAGTACAAGTGTATGTTGATGAAATTTAGTCCTAATATGGCTTTTATCTGACTCAGAGAATAAATTGCAGCAATATGCTGCAATGACATTCCAGTCATAACTATACATGATGCATTAGTTAATGAACTTTCAAAGACATAAATCACATACAGAGGGTAAAAGAATAAAACCTTTCAGAAAATACAAGCTCATTAAGTTTCCATAACTCTGTGATCATTTCATTTGCCAACAGAGGGTTGCTCTTTTTCATAATTCATTTTAATCATGTTAATGAGGATAGCGGAATGCAGGTAAGCACTAGTGCAATCAGACTACGAGTGTTAATCCATTTTGTTCACAGTATTTTAAAATATTGTGGAACAAAATTTTCTCTGAAAAGGTTTTCTTTATTGACAATTTGTTATTTATTTCTCATTGAGTTTACCTTTCTGTGCATGTCTAGTTTGGTCGTTTATGATTTGTCGCTTCTGGTAATGAATGTGAAAGAAAAGCAGAGAGTGAGAGATGAAGACTGTCACTGACATTAAGAAATGTCTTGAATGAAAATGCACCTGAGACTTTCTAACAAATGGATTTTTGTATTTGTTTGTTGATTATTAACATCCCTCTCGAGAATGTTACACTCATATGGAGACACAACCATTTGCTGGTGGAGGGCTGCAAATTTAAACTTATACTCAGCACTCAGGGCCATTGAGCAGTGAGGGATCTTTTTCATGCCAACACCTATTGCGACATAGGACCTCGGTTTATACGGTCTCATCCAAAGAACCTGTCTCCACATTCTGTAGTGAATTCAAACCCTTTATTAATTTCTTATTCCACAACTCTAGACCAGATACTCTAATCTCTGCACCACACGGGTGACTCTAAAAAATGGAAAATTGGTGAGAGCAGGCTATGAATCTAAGACTCAGATATTTACTAACTTTTTGTAATTGCAATGAAATGTTTATAGCGCTGCATCCATGTGCTAAACTTTACAGTTTAAATTACAAGATCAAGTAAATGTCAATAAAACGACAAATAGAAAAAGATTTCTTAAAGTTTAATTTTTAAATGAGATTATGAACCTTTTCGATTTTATCTAAAGGAATGAAACAAAACTTTCAGGAGTTAGTAATAAGTGTTGCCACTAAGGTAGACCAACTGGGTTTATAGTGCAGAAAAAAATGACACTGTCCCAATTTATCTGCTATAATCTCACCATAATCTTTTTCCCTTTTCCATCCAAAGCCTTTTTAACATCTTCTCTGATGGACTGGGAACTTGATGCTTTACGCATGCTGGCTCTGCTGTCCAAGCTTGATACACTATCTCTGTCCTGCAGAGAAAAACCAAATCATTTTCTAATCATTCTGTAAAGACAGTTCACTGCACATGTTCGAAAGCTTGATTAGTATGTCGTTTGTGGTAGCAAGAGTCAGTGTTACAAATCAGAGGCTGTTTTTTTTCTCTAAATCAGAGACATATAAAACCATTTTTATATGTCTCTGTCTAAATACGTTGTTGTAGTTTAACTAAATCATCAGCAAAAAAGAATCACTTACATTACAAAAACATTAAACACTCTTAAATTACCCTTTTCCCTTTAAAGACTGAAAATGCTGAAACTTTCTTTGAATGACTCATTTTATATCATACGATTAAGATTTGTTGACACTTATTCAGAAGTTCATCATCCCTTTTTCAAATAATTTTTTTCATATGTTTTTCTGTGAACGCGCCATACACATGGATAGGAAATAAGCACGGCGCAGTAAATGAGAAAACAAAAACGTGCACTCGGTGTAATCCGGAATGAGAGAAAAATTTAGATAGCCTATAGAATTATTTATTCCATCTTTACAACGCTGCTACAATAGGAATCTTTTTGGTGCCTGATTTTATAGACAGAGCATATTTGGTACACTATTATTATACTCAAGGTTAAATATGTCTCGTAGGAGTGGAATATTTATCCCATGGGAGCCCCTCAGGTGAGACAGAGGAAATACACAATTGATGTTTTGAATGCGGAAATAAGAGGCTATTTCACAATGGATTAAACTCACCATTTAGTCATAAAAGGGAAACTGTTGTTTTATTTTACAAAAGTTTGAAAATTATTATTCTGAATTTAACAGAAAAGGACCGGATTGCATGAATGTTTTGGATCTGACTTCAGGTAGGACAATTAGCTACCGTGCACCTGTACGCGATCACACTCACCTGAGAAACAAACCTTTTAGGAGAAATTTAAGTAGACACTAACCCATTATTTCATTTTATTTAATTAAACAACGATGACCTAAACTTATACTACAGCTATGAAAGTTTGGTAAAATACTTTATTTTAAAAATTTCTTTTTTAGTAGAATTACGTCACGTTTGGGGGTCAATTTAGGAGTGACTTTCTATGAAAAATATGTAAGCACTAATAACACAAATTATTTTTTTTTTTTCAGAAGAAAATGGAATCAAAGTTTCTGCAGATACTCTTGACAACTTTTCTAGCATTTACTGTGATGGTGCATGAAACAAAATGTAGGTTGTATTTCTTAAAGTAAAAGATCTCAGGCACGTGAAACTGCAGAACTGTAGCGTTTGACAAAGCCAAATAAATAAAACCATAACGCTCAGTTCTGTTCTAGATAATATTGAAATATATGAATAAAATTTGTTTTTGAAAAAAAAATTGGTACTTGTATCTTGCATTATAAATTAAAAAAAAAACTCCCCCACCTATAAATAGAATTTTCATCCTCTATAGTCCTAAATGACAATTATTTTTGGAACCCCTTTTTTTGTTACACTTGTCAGAATTTCTTAGTCCTTTCAAAAATTATAGCATGTACTTGTATCTTGCATTATAAATTAAAAAAAATCTTGAAATTCACTATTTCTTTATTTATTTAGAAGTTTTAGCCTTAGGTAATTTTGATAATGGGGTTTATTTAATAGACCACAATGGCGCCGAATGTGAATGTTAGAATATTGGGAACTTAACTTTTGGGATAATTTTGATTGTGCTCAAATTCCCCAAAGTGCTTTTAGCACCGCACTAGATGTTGTCATGAGTGTTATGATCTTTAAACATCCTCTATAGTCCTAAATGAGGATTACCGAAAGCTCATTTTTGGAACACCATCTAAATATTTTTGTTACTGGGACTTTCTAGTCAGTAGACTTATCACCTACTGTCTCGTTATATTCCAACAACAACGTGAGTTCTTTTCAATTGTAAATTTTAGCCTGGCGAGTGGTTCTGAAGGTAGGAAGAGGGAGGGCAATTTCCCCGGCCACCAGTGTAGAGAATCTGTGGCTATCTAACGTCACTGTCAATGACGATCGGAACACGTACGTCTACACACGTGACACGGTTGTGAGTAGGTACGAACCTACTTATAAATCTAACTTCATCAACAGCTGGTACGGGATCAACCAGGTAGGCACGTTTGTACATCTGATAGTATGAATAGACCCCCCCCCCCCCACACACACACACACACACTAAATATAGATAAAAAAAACATATATGCATGTACATATATATTGTATTTGGATGTACTAGTAATTACAAATTACCAAATGCAAGAAAAACACAAAAGCATTTGTATTTGAAACAGTACCTTTAGCGATGACATATATTCTTTCAGGTTAAAATCGCTATGTATAAAGATGGCAAGGAGGGGATGTTCCTTATCTTCAATACAACTGGACACAACAGAAGAAACTTCTTCAGGGACTCCAACATCATCAAGAGTTCATTCACAGATTTAACCGAGTCTACCAACTATAGTATGACAATATCTGGGTAATTTCTCTCCCACTACTCTAAAACTTTATTCCCTTATCTCCAAGTAAAATGATTTTGAAATGCAAATAGGGACGTAAACTGAAATTGTCTTTTGAAATGTAAAAAAATTAATTAATGATAAGGTTTCTCAAGGACAATAATATTACAGCATTTTATTAACAAACAATGAATCCTTTGTATAATAATATCTAAATGGACAGTGGACACCCCCCCCCCCAAAAAAAAAATTCTGTCTTAATATCGATACACAATTTCTGAAATATATCGCTTTTCGTCTGCTCAAAGCTATTTAATGATGTCACTTTTCTCAACCATAAAGTTTGGGAGGTATATACGGATTTATGACAAATATCTCCACTGAGGGACAATTTTTCTTGTTACACTGTAGACAGCAGAATCGTAGTTTTGAGATTGTATCCGCTGATGGCGGTCATTGTACCAATACCACTGGATGGATGGCAGCCATGAACAGACTGAGTAGCTGTTATACCGACGCACCTGTCCCTTACTTTCTGTTTGCAACGAAAACAAAAACAACGTTTAATAGTACGTTTCATGCCGTGTTTTAATGTATCAATAATGTACATTGTATTTGTGCTAAAATTAAGTTTTGTTCAAAAAAAAATCTCTGGGATGTAGATTTCAATTAAATTATTTTTTTTTCTATTTTAGACATGTCAGTTGCAGATGCATTCGCAGTTTTTGTGGGTAATTTTTTATCCAAATTCTATTAAAGTATTATTAATTTTAGAATACTTTTTTGTTGTTCTAAAACAATAGAACAGCAACATTTTAATTTTCAAAGATGCAAGATATATAACTAAAAATGGAGGATATATGCATTAATGTTACAAACGTACTATTTCTGTATTTCAAGTTGAGTTTATCACCCAACCAGTATTCGGAACATTTGTTGTTGGAAAATTGTACATTCGTTCCTTTACAACAGCTAGCAAAATAGATTATATGAGATACGAGGTTTCGTTTTTTAAAGTTTAGGGAAAGAGCGATACATGTGACTTTAAGAGATGAAGGAACATTTCTTTTCGTATTAATAATAAATACTATAGTATAGTGATCACGTAAAATCAGACATATGTGGTCTTTAGAACAACAAATTCTGTGTATAAGTTTAAGGGGGGGGTTACATTTTCCATTTTATATATTCTCATTTTATGCCGAAAAATGAACACAATAACCTTGGAGAATTTGACCATACTAAAAACTTAGGGAGAAAGAGTTGAGAACATTGAAGAGTAGTTTAATCGAAAGAAAAGCAGCAAAAGACTATTCTGATTTTAGTCAGAACAAGTTTGATTAGAGAGGCTTGAAAGGTTTTAACATATTCTTAAAAAAGAAGCAGACTTTACTTAATTTTCCTATAATATTTACGTAAAAAGAAAAAGGGAAGTTTCCCTCCCAATACTATACAGGTCTTAGCTAAGAAAATCTTAGTGGAGACTTGTGCTGAATTAAGATCTATTGACTATACCATCATCAGAGTCGTATTCCTATATAGGTGACTGTATTGATCAGCCCTGTAACTATGGAGGGGTGTGTGTAGAACACCTGGAAGATTTCACCTGCCAATGCCCATCTCAGTTTTATGGCAAAACGTGTGATAGTAAGTATTCGTCATTCTGTATAACAAAACCTTGGACCTTTATGAGGGCATGTTGTATTTTGGTGAAATGTTGGTCTAATCCTATTACTTTTCATATTTTTTAAATGTTTCTAAAAAAAAATTAAATTAATAAACTTTCAATATATTTGAAAAAAGTCAATAAATTTGACTGTACAGTATTTTACAATACTTCTTTGAGAAACATGATATAAAAAAACTCAATTTAATTTAGTTGACTGTCCATGTGCATATGGAACATGTCATGAAGTAACCGATGATGACGTCACAACCTCTGGAATTGTCATCAACGGGACGTTTATAAATAACTCCAGCTTTACGCTAGACAATGGACGTGTTCGATTGGCCTGCCAGTGTTTACGAGGCTATGAAGGTGTCAAATGCCATAAAAGTGGGTCACTTTTTTAAAAATAAAACTATATGTTACTTGTGAAATTGTTTGTTAATGAATATATGTTGATTAACCATCAAATACATGCAGATTTAATTTTTTAAGAAAATTTTTTTTACAGACGTTGATGATTGTATTGGTAATCCTTGCCAAAATGGAGGCGTGTGTGTGGACAAACTGAATGGTTACACTTGTGACTGTCCACTGACGGCACACGGTTCTACTTGTCAATGTAAGGGTTGTGTAATCTTCATAGAAACAGAATCATTAAAACTTACATCTTTAACTCTTAGGAGACATCTTAAATTTTAGTAAAAAAACAACCATACTCCAACCCAACCAGAATGGAGATACATGTACATGTATATCTTATTTGTTTGCTCTAAAACTGTTCTTTTTTTAATTTGTTGAAATGGTGTAAGCATCAACTTAATTATCATTTGTGTGATATTTTATTTTATACAATACAATAGCGACGTGAAAAAGATAGCAAGCTTTATAAATATGTACACATTAAAGGACGTCATAATATCTTTCCTACATACAGACAAAACACCAGAACAGGACAAAACTATGAAGACCGGTGGGGTGGTCGCCGTCGCCATCACGGTACCCTTGGTACTAATCCTCCTCGGCGCCATGATTGGGTATGGCGTGTACATTTACAGAAATCCCGAGGGATTCGGTCGATCTACCACATATAAACAGTTTGGTGAGTTACACTGTTGGTGCAAAGGACTATATTTTAATGACCAACACCTGACTTAAAAATCAAATATTTATAGAGAAATCTATAATTACATGTTCTAAACCAGGGAGAAGACTTGAAAACATTGATTACAAGATCACGTGCATTTTTAAGACGAAAAGTTTTATTAAAAATTGTCGAGCCTTAGGTCTGTCTCAATTTGATATGTTGGTATGTGTAGAATTAAAATATCAATGAAATATTTGAATTTTGTTCTGGGCAGGTTTGTGACGCTATATAGAAATGGAGAAATGTGAATTACTGAAAATCTACATCCAAATTAAACTTAATTTTTTTTTGTTGATTCACATTTTTAAACAGCATAGTCATGTATTTTTGTACATTTTCAGAAAATTTTTCCAGTTTTAACTTCCTTGGGGTGGGTGGGGGGGGGGGGGCATCGTCTCAAGCCAAGGTTTGGAGTCCACATATAGCTCTCTCAGAGGATCGTACATTTTGGCCTTGACGAGGTGGGGGGGGGGGGGGTATTAATTACCTCATGTATAGTTCTATTCGAACAAATAGACTAAGCAATGCTTAACATAAATTCAATTTCAAGTTACAAGGCAATGAAATACAATTAAAATTTTGCGTGTTTGTAAATAAAAGAAAACAAATACAGAGAAAACATATCCAACTGAATTATGGATGATATCTATAGATAATCCTGGTTATCACAGGGATATTTTCTTCTTTCCTAGCCATCGCCAGAGATTTTGTGCGACGAAGTTTCCGACGAATGTCTGGACGAAGACCGAAAGCTCCAAGAATTCTCCGAGAGCAACCCGACGGTCAAGAAGAATCTGGAAAGAAGGAAGAAAAAACAGGCTTCGATAATCTGGGATTTAATGAACCTACTGGAACTGGTGGCTCAGTCCCTGTTTATCGCAGAGAAAATTCGGAGATGTATGAGCTTTCGGCAAACGACCAGTCGGTGGTTACAGGACCTAATGCGTCATATGAAAAGTTGAACATTAACAAAGGAAAATCGGAAAACCAGTACCAGCAGTTAAAACACAGCCAGGAAAGAGGTGTTAGTGAACGCCCACGTCAGACGGGTCGGCAGGGTAGAGAGAAATACGATGACATGCCGCCAACATACGACGAAATAAAAGAACAATCAAAATACCAACCCTCCCGCACTGGGCATCCGGAGAGAAATCCCCAACTACAACAAAATATTCCACCGCCTGGCAAACCTCAATACCAACCGCGACATATAGAAAATAAAAATCCAAATCATGCGGCCACAAGTAACCAGAATCGACCACATCAACTAGACACACGTGGTCGACAAGAGGGCTATGAACCGCGTAATCAACGCGCAGGCAGCAACAACTCGACCAGTGAAGACATTCCGAACGATAGGTTTAGGGGTGGTCGATCTACGCAGGGACAAAGTCCCCCGTATGATGGGTATAATCTCCATCCGTCCTCAGCTTATGGGCAGAAATATGGTCAAAAATTATACGGTAGTTCACAAGCTGTTGACTACAACACAACAGAAAACATTCCGTATGACAGGTATCAGAATGACCGCTCTCCCTCGTCACCTCATGGACGACAGGAATATAACGCAGCTGATAGATACAGGGATGACATTTCTCCAACCTCTCCCTACGGACAGAACCA